GTTTGAACCCCCCCCCCTTGGGAGGGGGGGGGGGTTCGGGAGGGGGGGGTTGGGAGGAGGGGAGTCCCCCTGGTTTTGATCGACGGCGCCGAGTGTTGGGGGGGGGGCCCAACCCCCGGTTCGAAACGCGCCGCACGCGCGCGAGCGCCCGTGAAACGCGCTCTCTCATACATACGTACACACTGTTTGGCGTCGCTGCCCCGCGCGCAGAGACAGGGCGGAAAAGATCGAAAAGCAGGAAGCAAGCAAGCGGCTAAGCACGCCCAGGCCCTCAGAGACCGCTTAGGGTCCCGCAGCTGCCGGAAGAAGCCATCAGGGCCGGGGGACGAGGGGCATAAGCCATCCAGTACTGAATGGCGGGGGGAGCGAGTAAACAGCGTGGACCGACAAGGAAACCCAGACCAACCTGGAAGCCCAAGAAGGGCAGGGGGGTCACGAGCCTACGGCGCGGGTGCCAAAATCAGCCAGAAACAGTCAGGCAGCCACAAAAAGAGGAGAGGCAAGGAGGCCGTGGCAGACCTAGCGGTAAAGGCGGCGACGAGCCGCAAAGGTCGCAGGCAGCAATGCCGCGACAGCCGGCAAGCCGGGCGGCGCACCGGAAACGGCGGCGGCCGAGAAGGCAGCCCAAGCAGGGCGGACAAAGCACCCATCCGCGAGGGCGGAGGTCAGCCCAGGGGGGCGGCAAGGCGGAAAGGCGAAACGGGGCGAGAGGGCGGGGGGGCAAGATGGGAGGAGAGGCTGTGGGCGGCGCTGGCTGAGCGGGGCCTGAAGGAAAGCGCTAGCGCGCATGGATGCACACCATGCGGCAGACTGGCTACTGCGAAAGGAGACGGCCCGGAACTAGGAAAAGCAGAACGCAGCGGCACCTCGCAAGCGGGAGGTGAGGACCAGCCCGTTCACCGAATCCTGAACGCACGCGCACGTCACGCGGGGGCAAGACCTGTCCAGGGAGGACAGGGGCCGCAGGAGGATTCCAGGGGAATGACCCGCGGGGGCCAGCGGAGGACAGCCCAGGAGAGGAGAAACGGGGGCGAGAGACAGCCACCCCAGGTGAGCTGGGGAAGGCGGAACCCCGAGCCGAGGCGTCCTACTCTACTCCTACCCTATTCTACCCTACCGTACCCTGAGATACTCTGCTCTGCTCCACTTTGCTCTTACTCTACTCTACGGTGTCGCACCCTACTCTACTTGACTACACCCTATCCTACCCTACTCAACTCGATGTATGCCAAACTCTCCTCTACGCCTACTCTACTCTGTTCGTCGTCGTTGTCGTCGTCGTCGTCGTGGTCGTTGTCGTCGTCGGCGTCGCCGTCGCCGTCGCCGGCGTCGTTGGCGTCGGCGTCGGCGTCGTCGTGCGTCGTGCGTCGTCCGTCGTCGTGGTCGTCGCGGTCGTCGTCGTGGGCGTCAGCACCCGCGCCAGGCGCCGGCTCTCATAAAAAGCCTCCATGGCTCGATCCATCTCTGATAAGACCCTACCACGGCCCCACTGCACTCTACCCATCCCTACTCCACGCTACTTTCATCTGCTGTACTTTTCTCCACTCAAACCTACTCTACTCTACCCTATCCTACTCGGCCCTACCGTACCCTACTCTACTCTACTCTACTCTGCTCTGACTCCATTTTACTTCTACTCGGCTCTACTCAGCTCTACTCTACTTCATTTCTGCTCGACTCTACTCATCTACTCTTCTCTCCTCCACACTCCTCTTCTCTACTCTTCATTACACCTGTATACTCTATTCTACTCTACTGCCGTGTCCTACTGTGACCTACCCTACTCTACTCGACTCTACTCTACTCTACCCTACTCTACTCCACGATTGCCCTAGAGGACTCCACGATGGCCAAAAAAGAATCCAACACGGCCCCAAGGCGGCACCAGAGGGCCTCCCGTGGGGCCCAAGACAATCTTAGAAGGCCCTTCGACGGCCCAAGACGGCGCCAAGGAGGCCCTACGACGGCTCCCAGACACCCACAATGCGGCCAAGACAGCCCCAAGATGGCCCAAAACAGGTTTCATCGTCAGCATCATCATCATCATCATCAGCAGCAGCAGCAGCAGCGGCAACAGCATCATAATCAGATTGATCATCAGCATCAGCATCATCATCAGCATCATCATCACCACCATCATCACTGTCAGCATCGTCATCCTCCTTAGCATCATCGGCATCATCGGAATCATCATCATCATCATCATCATCATCATCATCATCATCATCATCATCATCATCATCATCATCATCATCATCATCATCATCATCATCATAATTATAATTATTATAATCATCATCAACATCAGTATCATCATCAGCATCAGCAGCATCAACACCATCACCATCACCATCACCATCAACAACAGCACCAGCAGCATACATACCACCTCCACCGTCAACATCAGCATCAACATCATCATCAACAGCAGCGCCAACATCATTACCATCATCATCATCATCATCAGCATCATCATCATCAGCATCAACAACAAAAACAA